GGAAAAGTAGAAAGGGCATCAAGGAAAAGTGAGACGAAATTAGCAACGGTACGGAAGGAGTTTAAAAATTTGTTTACTTTTAAGCCCCTAAATAATCTTGATAAATTGAATAAAAATCTAAATATACTTTGGTAAAAGTGGGGTATAGTAAAGTGAAAAACAGTCTATAATCATGGCTTTAGAAAAAAACTAAATGCAGTAAGTCTCCGAAGGGCGAAAATATGTGACTTCCTTTTTTTAAAAATATGAAAATAAAAAGTTAAAGAAACAGTTTTTGGAATGAAAAGTTGAATGACAATAATAGAACAGACAAAAAATATCTGTTATGAATCGTAGTCTATTAATCTCATGAATCCCAATGATTGCAAGGGGCTAAAGACTCAGAATATCGTGTGGATGCTTTGAACAAATCTCTGAAAGACATTTGACAGATGCACTAAAAGATAAAACCCTTGGTCGTCGTTACTGAAGGCCAAGTTGACAGATCTATGGTTGAAAAATCGGACGCAAATACAGGTGTAAGAACCAAAATATCTAAGGGCAGATAATTTTAAACAATGCCACATCCAAGATTCTTTCTTTAGGATGACAAGTGAAAAAATAATTATATCGCTTCAAGTCTGTTCTGGTTAACATCAGAATGGGAACTGAGCATATTACATAGTACACATCCAACGAGTAAATCTTCATATCTGAAGGCTAAAGCTAAGTTAGAAGATAACCTTCAATCCTTTTCATAAAGTGAAGATGACGAAGGTGATACCTCCGATCCTTGGGATAAAGTCTCAATAAACGCTGGCCCAGATGCTTCATTCTGTTTATCTAAGGCGATTTCTAGGGTAGTTGAAGTAACTACCTTGTGTTCACCGAGTTCTTTATAAGAGTAATTTTCCTGTAATATCATTTCAGTTGATATGCCAGTTTCTTCATGTTTTGGTGATATTTGGTCTCCTTCTTGATAACCGCAATGCGAATGTAGGGACTGACTTGAAAAGCTCTTTTGCTCCAATTTAGGAAAACCTGCATATTCTTGAGACTCATGCTCTACAGGTATATCATCGACTATGATGTAAGAAGAATCATCAGCTTGAGCTTTGGTAAGATGTTCTCCGATATCACTTGCATAGTTTGCTGGTGGGGTAGTAGATTGTGTATGGCTTATGCCAGTCATATACGGTCTTCCAGAAACAAGCTCATCATCTGAGACATCAAAAATACCGGACCCAAGATTAGAGTCGGTATGGGATATAATACTATGCTCGATTGCGGCTGCCTGGGAAATACTTTTGAGTGAACCGCAGCTAATCGAGGGTAGTATAGCCTGTGATTTAGCATCAGAGTGTGGAGAACTGGCCACGACACCCAGCTTATCTGAATTCTCATCAACTGCTAAAGCGATCCTAATAGATTCTGTAGGCACAGGTTGGATATGACCTGCGATTTTCAGTGAAATACTTTGCTCATAATTTAATGCAATTGATGCCGAAGGAAAGTTTAATTTATCATCAAGGTGTTTTGGCCTTTGATAATGCTCTGAGGCTTCAGGGCTCAGAGCAGAAGCCATTGCAGCACCACTATCCTCGAGGGAGTCGAGCATAATCTGAGTGGGGTTTGCAGAACTAAATTCTAAGAATTCCTCAACAGGATCTGCAGCACCTGCAGATGAATCTACAAGTAGAGCATTGACTCTTGTGTCTTCAGATGAAATACCAATGCATCGTTGTCGAAACGCATCGAAATCGGCATTTGGTGGAATCCGTGTAAATTCTCCAGTTTCTGGCAAAGCATCGACTGGCGGAAGTCGATGGTGGCAATCGGCATCTGATAGGCCAGCTAATCCTGAGCTCACAGAAGAAGATGTGCACAGCGAGTCTGTCGGGCCTTGGGGCATAACATCTCCACAGGAAGAATCCGCTTCTCCGATTGAATCCACTTCTCTATCTCTAAAAAGTTGAAGTTCATGTCTTGCTTCTTGGATGAGATTGGCTGCCCATTCAGTAATGGGGAGTTGACTTTCAGTGAGCACATATTCCTCGCCAAGAAGTCCTCCAGCTAAACTGCTCTCACCTAGTGAGCTCGAGTTAAGCTGAGAAGAAGGCATGAGAGAATCGCAAAGTAAAGACTGAGATAGTGAATCTACTTCTATAGAATCAAATCTTTTTTCCTCAAAATTGTCTTTCTCATCTTTTTCTTCGTCTTCATAATCATCTGCACCTTCGAATATACCACTTCTTGTTTTTGATGTATGTGAGGGAATCACAAAATCCTCTTCTGCTATTTTATCTGGCTCCTCATCTAGAGTTGGCTTCAAGTTCATATGCTGAGAAATTTGAGGCATGAGACCTTTCGGTTCATGGGATTGGCTGTAACATTCGTGAAAATACTGACTACTAGTATCCATGGCAGATGCTGCTTCCCTCAATAAGTCTTTGGTAATTTCGTCAGCACTCAATGAATCAGAGGTGTCAAGCCGCAAACAAGTATAGCTTGCTTCATTGTCTTCTCCCGTAGATTCGATACTTTGACACATTTGCTCAGCAATTACATCCTCATAAATTGTCTCTATAGGACCTCCTACAACTCCCAAGGAAGGAGAAACCTGGTTTTGAATAAGTTGTGGATCACTACAGACCAAAGCGGCTCCATAATCAGTCCGGAGGGCCATTCCGAAGGCAGAAGGGCAATCTTTAACTGGACTGACTTGTATAACACTCTCTGCTGATCCACAAGCTTGCTCATTGCGCAGGAACTCGGACATTGAAGAAGAGTGCGAGCTAAGGCCCTCACTTGCCCTGCGTCCAACGCTACTAACGCTCAATGAAGAGGTACTAGAATGACCCTTAGTCTCAAGTTCAGCCTCAATCCGCTCAAACTCCGACAAAGAACCTCCACTAGTTGCACTGCCGCTGCTACGATCACCTTTGTCACTTACGCCGTTTGCCTCTTCACGACTGACTCCGGCAAGGGACGACTTGGTGCTGCCTTGTGTAGAAGCCAACTGAAGCTCAAAATGCTCAAAATCACGAAGAGAGGATGATGTCGTTTCAGTTGCTATCTTAGAGACATCTGAAGAATCGCCGGCACTACTTATTCGGCTCACTCCAGCCGGAGAGTTAGAAGATGAAGAAGTTACTATACCAACACTAAGCGTAGCAGAATTACCACGCCTAGCTCTTTTCATACGCTTTATGGATCCACTCTGCTGTGGATAATAGATGCCTGTATGGTGTCCAGAAATACCCATGAATGAAGAGCCATGACTACTACCAAGGCCAACTGATACATTCTGAATAGGCTGGTTAAGCATACCAGGGGATGAGGATGCGGTATGAATCTGATCTGTCACGCGTTCCTCCATTCCCTCGGTCATAGAAACAGCGGATATGGCTGCTACCACTCCGCTCTGTGCAGTCAAATTTATGGGCGCCTTTGCCGATGAAGAAGAAGTGGAGGGACCTAGGCATTCAGTCATTTGCCGTTCTGTATTCCTCGTCAACTGGGCCATGCTACCGCCAAAAGAGGCTCTGTCTTCAGGAGACATAAGCGAATTATCCAACAAATTTAGATCGCTTTCAACGGAGGCTAATGTGGTCCTTGAGCCTCTTGGCTTTGTTAGCTCCCAATGTATATCGTCTTTGCTTCCTTGCTGGTCATAAAAGTCTGCTTCCTGAGCATTGTCAACCTGAGAATGAAGTGGCTTAGAAAAATCCTCACGACCTTCCTGGCTTGACCGAACCGAGGTTCTTGATGAATGCATATCCTTGGCATAGAGAAAACGTCCCATGCCTCCAGGCGAACCAACATGAATTACTGTGGTTTGACTATCTCGACTGGATTCATCTGGTGTACCGGAGCTTTCGGCAATACTAGCATAAGCAGCATCCGTCCAAGATCCAGTCATTTGGTCAGAAGAAGAGAAGCTGCATCGGGAAGTGGATGGAACCGTTTGAATTGGAAGTGCGGTGAAAGAGGCGTTGAGTGAAAGGCATTCTTTCGACTTTGCTTCTCCTATGCGGAATTGTGGTGTGGAATCTATATTCGGAATCACAATGACCTGTCTATTCAATGAGCTTGGTATTTCTAGTTGATCCGAAAGCAATACTTCTTCACTATCTTCATCTTGAGCGGGAACCAGTTCAAAATCCAAGGGACTTTTAAGGCTCTCAAAGTCATCTTCTGCTTCTTCACCAAGTGCCTCAAGGATAGGGTAAGGACTCAAAGGAGAACCAGATATCGCATTTTTATTTTTTCCAAGTTGTTTGGTTTCTTCATCATACATTTCGTCCCCCCTCAGCACGAAAGCATCGTCCAGGCTGTCTGTATCAAACCCCTTATCGCATTCACTTAACACTTCATATTTTTCCTGGTTGCCTGCGTTTTCTTCTTCTTCCTCTTCCTCTGGTACTTCGTCTAGCTCGTGCATTGCTTCCATCTGTCTAGAGTAGGCTGTGGCCGAAGTGATAGAAGAATCTGTCACCAGGTCATGCGAATCAACTTCTTTGGTGTGCTCCTTCCGTATGGTATTCATGAATTCACTTGTTTTTTCAATATACTCTGGTCTGGATGAGTCGGCTTTAGGTCCAGAATATGACCAATCACTAGAGCTTGTAGCGACCTGACACTTTTTTGCCCTCTCTCGCTCGGAGGTAGATCTTAGGCTATATGATTGTAGTCGAGTTAGCATCTTCATGGATCTATCGAGTGCAGAATCAACTACACGATGAGCTTGGCTTTCTCGTATCATACCTTGTGCGATTCTTTCGCCAACTGGACCACAGCTGATAAGATGAAGATCATCAGCGTCATCATCTTCATCTTGATCTGAAGAGTCTTCTCCGACGAGATTAACTCCTGCAGCTGCGGCCAACTGAGCGAAATCGTCTTCATCATCTTCTATTTTGCTTTCATCCCGTTGAGCAAGGCCACGTCGATTGTCTAAACACTTTGAGAATGACTGCCGATGAGCTTGAGAAACCATAGGACCCTTAAATAAAGGAGAATCCTTGCCTTTTTCTCCGTCATAAATAAAGTTCAATTGAGCCTCATCATCCAAGCTTAACGAAGCCTCATTTTTTCCCATGGAATCCGGTCTTTCATAGATATATTCATTCTCATCTTTTTCTGTGGAAAGAAACGCTGCAATATCATCTTCTTTTTCAAAAGAACTCGTTTTGCTTAGCGTTTGACTGTCGGTCCCTAGAGTAAATCTAGCTGTTCCAATCAAGGGTAGTTCACTCGGCAAAAGGCCACTGTCACTAGTTAAATCTTCATCCTTCATTGTGGTGGCCTCACTCTGATTCATATCTCTAAAAATAAGATCATCAATTTCTTGATAGTGAGCGCCTTCCTGACTCCCAGTGACCCAAACACTATATTCTGTCCCAAAACCACTTGAGGCAAGGATTGAATGCTCGCTCTTTTCCCATGTGCCACATAAATAATCAGAGGATTCAAGTTCCGTATGCACTAAACTTTTTCCGTCATCCCTACCACAAGAAGAATCAGAATCCAAATTGTCCTTAAAGATGTCACTTTGCTCAAGTATATCCTGTTCTAAACTTATATCACGACATTGCACATTGAACGCAGAGGTGGTGACTTCGCTTTCAAGAAGAGGATCTCCCAACTTTAGATCTGGTGAAGAAAACTTCTGAGCAAATGAAAGATCGTCCTTGGATTTTGACAATTCATCAGTAGTTTTTTCGAACACGATATCATTTTCGCTGAAAATATCCAATTTTTGCTTCTCATTAAGTTCTAGGGCTCTGCATTCATGCTCCTTGATGGAAGCATCATGAAAAACAACAGAACAGTCGATGTTTGAGTGCTGGGACTTTAAACAAGTATCAGGTTTCTTAGGGCCTCCTAAATTGCTGATTGACTTATTGAGCTTATCAACGTCCAACGAAACGGAAGCCTCCTGAGGAGAATCCGTCGTAGTGATGGAAGTTGTCGCCGTTTGGGCCTCCTCTTCATGACCTATATGGAACATGATAGTCTCTTCAGGGCTTCCGTAGGCTACGAGTCCAACAGAAAGGGCTAAAGGCGAGCTATCCTGTTTATTAT